AGCAAATACATCTGTAACAGTACAGAAGAATCTGAAGCAAGAAGCTCAACAAGAATGAACTAGAAGAATTTGTTGGCAATCTTATAGACATGAATACATAAACCAGCAGAGTGATCAATCAATTCATAAAGATCTTGAAAACAGTAAAGAAGTCTATAACTCTGGCTGGGGCCAGCAACTATCTAGCATGAAGCAAAGCCATTCTAAAGATAACTTGTCAAGTGAATACTGAGAAGATTATTCTGGAAAGACAAGAGACCTCATTACAGCTGGAGAACTTGAAGATTTCATAATACTAAAATGTTCAGAATAAATAACTACATAATCTAATTGACAGTATAATATCTGCACAAGTCAGAGAACACTTTAAGAAATTGAATAGTCTTAGTACTTACAAACTCTGGAAAGCTGTAAGAACAGTCTTTCAAGAGAGATCTGAGATACAGCAGGAAAGTCTATTAACAGATTTAGTGAGAATAACATTACAGTCTGCTGGCTCAGAAAGAAATTATATAGAGAGATTTCTAGTAATCTATAAAGAATTTAAGAGATTAGAGTTCAAATAACTGGACCACACTCTACATGATATTTTGAAGATGAATATTATGTCTTGATGAAGAGAGTTCATACAGAATCAATTTAATATAGCATGCTAGAGTGAAATAAATCTATCAGAGAAGAATTTGGAAGATCTATTAAAGAATATTCTTTACTGAATCTTTAAGAAAGATCAAAAGAAAGACAGCAGATCTATAAGACTGAATATAAATATAATAACAAGCTCAGATTCCCAAAAATCTTATAAGAATACAAACTCTGAATTCAATTCAGAGAAGAGCTTACTGCAAATCTGGAACTACTATATTTGTGGCAAATCTGATTACTTAGCTAAATTCTGCAGATCTAACAAGAATATAAAGTCTAACAAGTCTAAGAAAGACTCTAAGAGTAAAAGCAAGAAAGTAACAACAGTTGCAATAGACAAGATTTATTCAGTTCACAAAGCAGTCTTTTCTATAAGAGAAGCCTGCAAATCTATAAACAGATGGATTCTTGACTCTGAAGCTGGATTCCATACAATCTCATATACAGATCTAGTTCAAATGGACTCAAAGAGCCATGCAACACAACTGCTTATGGCAAATGGTTCAAAATCAGTCACTAGAGAATTTGGCACAGCTAGTATCCAAACCAACAATGGTGAATTGAGTATTGGGAAGGTTAGAATCATGCCTGACCTTCAGATTAACCTCATAAGCTTTGAGAAGCTTATACAAGACAGCTTTACAGTGAAACAGCTTTATGTCAACAGAGAACATGTCTTTCTACTAGAATCAGAAGATAAAATACAGAGCTTTGAAGCCATACTTAATAAAGATGATATTCTAGTTCTGCAAACATCTAGAATATACAATTTACTGGTATATGTGTTTCCAGTATCTACAAAACTTCTAGAGCCCTGCTATATAACAGCAACTCTAGAGAATAAAGATAATAATGACACACTTTTAGCACCAAATCATCTGGCAAAGAAGCCAGAAATCAAGGAAAATACAATGGCCAATTGGCACAAACACTGGAGGCATCTCAATGCTCACAATATAGCTATTTTAGCTAGAGATCCAAGAATGGCAATGTGAATAAAGAGAGTAAAGAAGCTAGAGTTCTGTAAAACCTGTACTAAAGTTAAGCAAGCTTGCAATTCATTTGAATCTAGAATATGCTCTACAAAGTCTGGAGCTAAAATTTTTATTGATATTGTAGATGGTAGCTGTACTTTATCTACAGACTCTGATTCTTCAAGCTACAGCAGAGCAAAGTATTTCCTACTTATAATGAATGATGCCACACAATACAGGTGAATCTATCTCCTGAAGGAGCAGGTAGAAGCTTTAGAAACTCTGAAGAACTGAATTAATATAATTAAAGCATTCACTAAATGAAAGATTAGCACTATACTGTCTGATGAAGCTTCTGAATTGACAAGTCAACAACTGACTGAATTCTACAGGAGCAAGAGTATATAACAGAAGATTACATGCCTATATACATCTTAACAAGATGGAACAAGCAAACAAGAAATATGACTTCTTTGCAAGCACACAAGAAGCATACTTATAGACTCAGAACTTCTCAATAAGTTATGGAGTGAAGCTCTTGCCACAGTCTTTATAATAGTGAATCTATTGTCTATCTCAGTGTCTCTATACAGATGCAAGAACATGAAGCTGTTGACACTCTTTAAAGTCTGAATGAGTCACTAACCCCATTACAGATAAGTCTATAAGTGGAGATATAACATCTACATGAAGATTTTGAATGAATTCTTGAAGCTTCAATCTAGATTCAAGAAGATCAAATTTGTAGAATATTGTGGCATGCACACCTACAGGCTTTGGGACCCAGAAACAAACAGTATAATGATCTTGTGAGATATTATATTTGATGAGAAATTGGATCAAATCCCTATAAATTTACTAACTAAAGCTGAATATGTTGAACTCCTGAAGGAGTACAATTATATAGATCCATTAAACAGCTGGCAACACAAGCTACTAGCTTATCTTGTGAAGGAGAAGCCAGAAATTTTGAAGAAGCTTATGAATGGTAAATTAGAGGCTCTAGAGCTCATGTATCTGGGCAAAGAGCAAGAAATTCTTACAGATACTACAGAGAAAGAAGAAGTGAATGGAGCTGAGCTTCCAGTGCTCAGCACACATACAGACATATTAAAATCTATTACTGAAGTTAAATGCTCTGAAGAGTGACTTTATTGAAAGAAGACTCTAGATATTGAAGCCTTCAAACTACAAGAGAAAGATATCTGAATTCTAGTTGAGAAGAAACCTGAAATGCAGATTCTTTCTGACAAATAAGTATTTGATAGAAAGCTCAACAATACAGGTAGCATAGTATAATTCAAAGCCTATTAGATTGTACATGAATTTGAACAACAAGAAGATGTTCACTACAAGAAGATCTATACAGCAGTTGTCAGTAAATTGTAAGGATTCGCCCGCGAACCCCTTACATGGATGAACAACACCCGTGAGGGCCCAGGGCCTGGGCTCGTGAGCTGTTGGGAGTACATGTGTCCTCGCGAGGCACTAAGTCACATGCTCGCGAGCACACATAAAAGGCTGCCACTGTGTGAACCCCTTGTTGGGAGCCAGTGGCAATCTTGTCTACAAGTCATACATAGCTGCCAATACCAGACCTTTTACCTCGTGTACTCTTTTCTACGTACAATTCCTCCTATAGATTCATTGTCACGCCGATCCACACGTACGATCCTCACATAAATCTATAATAAGAGTCTTCTTTGCTATCTTAACAGTCAAGAACTAGAAGATCAGAGTTTTTGACTTTGTGACAGTCTTTCTAAATAGCACTCTTCCAGAGAATAAATATATATACATTCAACTATCCACTGGATTCAAGCATAGGTGGAGTAATCTAGTAAAGCTCTTACACCAGGAACTCTACAGATTAAAGCAAGCTGCTAGACTCTGATATCAAGCAGTTACTGATTATCTGAAATCTCTAGAATTCCAGATCTCTCCATACAATACAGGCCTACTCTACCACAAGAGAAAGCAAATCTATCTAACTCTACATGTCAATAACTGCTGTATAATGGGACCTAATAAAGCTAAAACAGAATGACTTATTAAGAAGCTTCAGAAATACTTCAAGATCAAGAAGATTACAGAACAGAGCTGTTATCTAGATATGTGAGTTCAAAAGCAGTCAAATAAAGATTTTTTTGTGAACCAGAAATAGTATATTAAGAATCTACTAATTAAATATGAAATGGAAGACTGCAAATCTTTCAAAATGCTAATAAAGAAAGAAATAAGTATTGAATTTGTGCCAGATCAGACTTTCAAAAATGAAGTTGACAAGCAGGCTATGCTTATGAATTACAGGAAAGACCTGGACTCTCTACAGTTTCTAGTTATGTGTACAAGGCTGGATATTGCATTTGCAGTCAATTATCTGGCAAGATTTAACAGCAGGCCTAATAGGAAGAGCTGGGCAGCATTCAAGCAGATTCTACACTATCTCAAGAACACAAAATTAAAAGAAATAGTCTTCAAAAGAGATATGGATTCTGAAGACTTGAAACTGGCAGCCAGTTTGAATTCTGACTGGGCTGGAGCCAGCCCTGCATACAAATCCACCAGCAGTTATATTATTATCATGAACAAAGCTCCAATATTGTGGAGATCACAGTGCCAGATGTCTGTCTTGAAATCAATGACTAAAGTAGAGTATTTGATAGCTAGTAAAGTTGCTTGTAAACTGGTTTGAATTAATGACCTGTTAATAGATGCTGAAGTAATTAGTAAAGACTCAGCAAGACTAAGAAGCTCAAAATTAAGTGTTGACAACAAGAGAGCTGTTGACTTAGCTAAAGCTGAAGCTATAACACAAAGAGCATGCTATATTGAGATTTGGCACTATATGCTAAGAGACTGGATGCAAAAGAATGAAATCTTAATCAAGCATATTGGAAGCAATACAAATAAAGCTGACAGACTCATGAAGACTCTTGCAATGAATCCTTACACTTAATTTGTGAGCACAATAGAGGTGACAGATTAATACAGGATAATATAGAGATTTATCAGTGAAGCCAGCAAAAATACTGTATCATGACAAATGGAGCTAAGCCTAAAGAAGGAATAAATCTAGATTTTGTAATTAATTTTCATTATGGATTTGAGAGATTTGGAAGCTTTGGATCTTTGTGGCTCTTGCTCACTGCTGGAGCTTGTTGCATGGGGGGGTGTTAGGTAATCCAACTAGCACCTCGCTCACGTGACCCACATAGATTAGCCGAGATTCCCCTTTAGGTAGCTTAGCGGATGACAAGCATACGAGTCCTCCATCAAGGTCACCGCCTTCGGGATATTGATGTTCCAGATATTTAGTTCTGCCTTCCAGACTGCCTAGCAAAATGGCTGGACGTCAGAGCTCCAAGAAAGCTGGAGGAACGCCAATCCTCCAAGGGTCATCCTCAAGATTCCAGCGCAGTCTCTGCTCAACTTAGGGATCGCTGGAGCAACTGGTAAGAGCAACTGGTTTCTTTAAGGAGACCACCTCCTTTGCTGTTAATTCTTGTGCTTGGTGTTTTTGTAAACATTATCTTACTTGCTTGTCCCTTGTCGCAAAGCTACAACCTCCAGAAGAACTGGTTTCCGATCCCCTCTATCTAGGTCATCGCCAATTCACAGGTAGAGGCAAGGTAGAAAATTTATTCGTCCCTGCCAATTTGTCTTTGATGCGTTGCAACCTATTTCTTGCCACTGACTTGAACTCTCAGGAAAACGAAAACATGGAGGCCAATGAGCCCAATCCTCTGTCGCAGCCGCCCACAAACGCTTCTAATGCGCCCCCTCCCCCTCCAAACCCGCCAAGCATCGAATCTGCCTATAAGCAAAAATGCATTGATTTAAAGAAACGCCTCCAGGAAATCGAATCTCACAACGAGGCACTGCGCGCCAGGAATGAACGGGGTCACCGATACCTGCAGAAGATGCGGCTCGAGTCCTGCATCCTTCTTGAACGCCTTGGCCTTCTTACTGGAATGACAGATGAGAATGGGCCTGGCCCTGAGATTCGCGCTCGCGCGCTGGCTCTTATGAACCAAGCTACCTCTCTACTTGATGATCACGAGGAGGGCTCTGCAGACCGCCCGTCAGGCCCAAGGCGCGTTCCTGATGAAGAGGATTACTTGGATGATGAAAGTGTTGGAAGCGCAGAAGACAGGCCTCCTACCGTATGTCAACATACTCGTAATTTCCATCGTATTCGGTGGATTTTAACTGATATTCTTACTTGTGCTAGCCTGAGGAACGGCCCGTTCGTACCAAGAGGAATCGCAAGACTGAAGACCATGCTAAGAGTCATGGAGCGGGGGACAACAATGCCGACTCTGTTAGCTCTTCCCTTCCCACCCTTATGCCTGCCCCTGTTCCACACACCCCTGCGACTGGATATAACCAGCCTGGACTTTCGTCTCAAAACCCCTTTACACCTATTGCTCCCAACTCGGTTGCTTCAACGCCCTTAGACGTGCATCGCTCGGCTGGAGTAGCCACATCACCTATCCAGTCAGCTTCTGATTCGCGCAATCAGCATATGGGCAACAGTTTTACTCCAGTTGCATCGGCCCAGGAGCAGCAGCATCGCTATGTCTCCGCATTTGAGGACTTCACTAATCGAAACAGAGACAAAATAGCTAGTGTCCTTTACCGCTCTCGCAGATCCCAACTCTCCGACGAAGATATTGACCGCGCCGTCATCGAACACTGGGAGGATTTGGATCCCGAAGAGAAACGTGAATACGGCGACCGTCTCGGCAAGAGAGGTGCCATTTGATGGCTCGTCAACTCTATAACCTGTTCTTCAAATGGATCGATTCTTTCAAGCCAGTCTCCGTGTCGTCACGTTGCTGTCCCGTTACCTTTTATATAAACTCCTGTTTGTTATTTCCTCCTAACCTTTATTCTCACTAACATGGCGTTTCGGGATCGGGGTTCGGTCGCATGGAATAGATCGATGGCGGAATGGATTTTAAATGTTTGGGCATTGATATGAACGTTTTACGAATGGGATCGTGCTGTACTTCTATCATGGGACCACTTTTTTGTCCGGCCTCTGTGTCGAGTTATTCGTGTTTAGGAATACTTTTGTAATAATTTCGCTTCGCTTCCGAACGGAGCTCCGTTATTCTGGAATCCTTTTGCTTACATGCTAACCTTTGATGCGTTGGCGGTTTTCAGTGCGGCTCTAACGTAAATGGTGTTCCCAACCAAGTTTCATAATCAACGGTTGTTTCGAATTCAAGACTCGGCTTCCTCCGAGATGAACGTTTCAAGGAGGTTCCCGGTCAAGAACCTCAATGCATACGTAGCTAAACCCCATAAACGCATTATTATCGCAGATCAATATCAAACTCTGCACGAATGCCGCTAATACTTGAGTTGTTAAATGCATGATTCAAGTAGGATATTCTGACACAATCCTCCGTAGGTTGGAAAATAGCAAGAGTTATGTCGAACACGGTTGCGATCTGGGAATTGTCCCCATTTCATCCTTTCAGGAATCTGGCAAGCCGGAGTGCGTAAAAACAATTCCAGAAGAGGCGCTCAGATAACTGCAACGGTATACAAATGCAGGTTAAAAAAAAAAAAAAAAAAAAAAAAAAAAAAAGGGAAAAACTAGCATATACGAACTGACATGTTATCAGGTCTTAATGTGGGACTGGAGCTTGGAGCTGCTTCATGGGATATCATCATATATCATCCGTGAAACCCACGTTTCAAGAATTGCTCAGGACCCTAGTCAATTCCAGCATAGAGATCCACGACAATATTTATCGCAGCGATCAGGATCTCCGCTGCAATTAAAATAATAACTATATCCCAAAGATTTTTTCCCCGGTTAGCAAGAACTTCTCATTGAGAAATGTTTTTACGAGACTTACCAATCCACTCCAAATACTCGCCGTGCCGATGACTCAACTGATCCTTCAAAACAGCCAACAAGTCGGCGATAACCTCCAACCTCTCAGTCAAGAGCCCGACCCGTGGATCCATCTCCAAATAACTCCTGACCGCCTGGTAAATCGGATCCAGCTGCGGTTCCGCCCACATCAATTCCGGACTGTCGAGAACCGACCCCTGGAGGTGGATATTTATGCGCAAAATGAACAGCTCTCCGATCTGCATGTTTATCTGTCGGCGTGTGAGGTTGACACTACCGGTCTCCGCGATCTGGGCGGGGAGCGGAGATGTTGCAGCGATGGTCTCGGACACAAGGTCCTCAAAAAGAGAAGTCTTAACAGATTGAGAAAGGGCATGGGAAATGGCGAGCTTGGTCATGTAGCTCCGCGGGTCACGGAGAGATATGAAATCATTATATATACGGGCTTGATAGTCGCGTGTATAATAAAAATTGAAGTTCTCGACCTGGGTGTCTTCGGCGCTGAGGACGGAGTCTGCAAATTTCGATACTTCGTTCAGAAAACGGGTTTCCTGGGAGGGGGTCATCCCCCATATCACGACCGTGCCGTAATCGAAGAGAAAAACTTCAGGAGTGTGAATTGTGGTGTCCAGGTCCGGGATCTCGTGGTCTAAGGAATCGGAGGAGATAACTTGAGAGGCAGAGTGCTGGTCCTCGGAAATTTGAGATTGTTGGGTGCGGCCATTGGTATTCGTGTCGGCGTGTTCCATGTTAAGGAGGTGTTCCCGTTGTTCTTCCCTGTGGCCTTCGACTTCGAGTTCGCTATCGGAAAATCGGCGTTGGGTCCGGTCTGTGGATAAAAGTGGTGACTGTTGTATTGTTTCCTGCATGCTAGATTGCTCTTGGAGGTATTTCATTTTCGCTTCATGATCATAGTTATAAGGGGAATAGACGCATTCGTCAAAAAGTTTTGGATTCGCTCCTCTGGTGCTGGCCCGCGATTTGAAAAACCTCATCACGCTATCAAGTCTGTAGGCGTTCGCCGTGCAGTACGCTGTAACTCGCGGCAGACGATCGCGATCTGCCTTGCCCAATCTTGCTGCATCCCTTCTTGCGGTGGGTTCCTTTATTCGCTTGATCTGGGAATATACATCTCTGGGGACTGCGTCATCGATCCATTCGTCCTCCTCTCCGGTAACTGGATTCGGTAAAAGCTTTAATTTCTGCGTGTTTTTCGTCGTCCGCTGAGGACCAATCTTAGGGGTTGGGCTCAGTGCAACAGTCGGGGGTGGTCCCTGGCTGTGTCTCCGGCGAAGTTTGCTATTTAATGCTGCGAGGACTGGCTGGCCGGAACCCCCTTGTATCGATGGAGTTGCAGAGTGCAATGGTCTCAATCGTTGGGCCCGAGCCGACGTGTTTGTCGATGCACTTGCTTTGGGGCTTGGGCCGAAGGTTACTGTTCTGCCGGGTCGCAGTTCTCCCTCTGGCGTCCGTGGCGCATGTCGGAGTAAAGGAGAGGATTCAGAAGGTATGGAGGCCATAGTGGCTGGAGTATAAAAGCCAATTGCATAGATACAATGCGGTACTCCAGAGATTGGATTAGGTCTCACGGGAAACAGTCGCTACGCAGCGAACAGTGCAAGATGTTCGGCACTCAGATGTCATCACAGCATCACTTCGCTCGACCGAATCCAAACGGCGCTAAAAGTGCTCCACACAAGCTTAAGCTTTCTTGGGACGCACGTGTTGGCCGTGTAACACTACGCTAGTCCGCAATAGGGTTGGTAAACTGTGTTGGTCTGATGACTAAACCATGTCCCTTGTCCATGGCTTGTTGCCCGTAGCCGCGGGCTGTTGGGAGGCCGGACGAAAAGCAATATTTCCTCTGATTTAAACACACAAGCAGGTGTACTGAGTACGGAGTACGTGATTACTACTATACAGCCCATGCTCTATACAAGCGCTTGAAACTTCCTCGGCAATAGAAGACGGCGGTCGGTCATGCAGCTGAGGTTTGAAACCTGCGACCATTTCCATTGAAGGCTATTGTTTGACGGGTCGCTGGGGGATATACTTCTTTAAACACTGATCTCAAATGACGTGGAGAACTCGCAGCAATTCTAGAAATTCGAATCCCAGTCGCTATGCTATATTAAACCTCTCCAATGTTCTCAGAACAAAGTCAATGACACGGTGCGGTTGCGACAGGAATGGTGAGTGGCCCGAATCTAGCGTCTCCTGAATTTCTATTCCCGCTGCATCAGCTAAATATTGCTGCACGGCTAGCGGAACGGCTCTGTCATGCTTGCAGAGAAGATAGGCGGAAGGAATTGTGCGATACGCTTCGTGGGTGAGTGGAGTCAAAAAGGTGCTATTAATATCAGCGTGAGCGGAAACTCGCGCAGGTGGAATCCGGGTCATATTTCTTACCCATCTGAATGTGCCTTTAGCTGCTTCGAGGAACTTTCTGCGAGAGAAGGCTCAACATCATGGTAAAAGGCCTCGATCGGATTTTTAACGGTGCTCGTGCCGTCCTACCACAAAATGCATCAGGCTTAGCATGCACCACACACATACCGACAATAGTCGAAGTAGGAGTAGATGAAACATACCTCATGATTCTTTAGGCGCAGTACGGGTTTAATTTGGGGCACGTCTCCTGGGTCTGAGGACGATCTCCCCTCCGTTGGCAAAAGACAAGCTATATATAGCAGCGCAACGACTCCAGTTTGCCTCCCGGATTCCGTTCGCTCTTTCTTCCCCAGGCCTTTCATTGCTTCTGTGCCTGGAACTGCGCTGTACGAGTGCATTACAATAACAACATCGCGATTGTCTTTGTCGAGAATCTTCTTGACGTGCGAGCGAACCGCCGCTACGTCGGCAGACATATCGGGGAGGCCGGGGGAAATTCCCACGCTAGGAAGCTGAATGGGCCAGGTATCATAATTATGCTTCTGGAAAATGGGGTTAAGTAGGTCAAACGCTGCTGGAGTGTGCCAGGCGCCGGGGACCATAACAATGACCGGATTTTTCGTGCGTATCATTTGATCCATGCCACTTTGCGTCACTGGACCCGAGGTGGTGCCGTGAGACATAATGACTTGATATTGAAGTTTCGAGAAGAGAGAAGGAGAAATAAAATTTATCGGACTAATTAATTGACTGGCCGATCGTTGCAAATAAGAAACTTGGAAGTACACATTGGACAGGGAGAGCGTATTTTGTCTTTTTATATCTTCTTTGGCTAAAAACTCTCCGGCGCGCGCGGCACCCAGAGGCCATGAGGCCGCGAAGCCAACAAAAAATAAGACACTATGGCACTTAGCTTGTCAGGGCTGAGGATCCGACGAAGCCGCTTGCGCCTTCAAGGAATGTAACAGTAAGCAAAGTGCAGCCCCATAACAGAGCAGCCAGAAGCTTTGAGGATTTGAAATTCAACGATCTTCATGCCGTGACAAGGCGATCATCGCCGGCTGCAATCGATCCAGCAACCGTAGCCAAAGAAGTATATCACGGTGACTTGCATAAGATGACTCGTCTCCTATGTATTCCACGCCATTCACTGATTGTTAAAGTTCGAGAGTTTATCCTCCAGCTGGATATTTGAAGTTGGGAGCTGAACAGACCCCTGCTGATAATCCGAGGGAGATTGGCCTGGGCGGTCCGAGTTACTCAAGCTGATCGATTAACGAAACTCAAACAAACACATTAAACCGGTCAATTTGAACATTTCATAGTTCGTTGGTCAGTCCATCGCGAACCTTCATCCAGCACACATAAACGCTGTGTACGGAGTAAATCAGACAAGAACAGCCTTGCATCGATACCTGACGCTGCGGCAGCTCCGGCTGATAGCCCTTCAAAGACACCCCTGCCGCCCCAGATTTGACCTAGGAACGGCTTCACCAGCGAGGCTCGTCTTTATTTACCTGTTGGTTAGCTCCACTCCCAAAGATGTGGCGAAGCAAATCCTGGGAAATGCCCTCCGCATATGTACGATGAACTGATGGGATACGGTTCCAGCAAGGAGAACGGGCCAGTGCAAACTTGGAGGATAACTTAGTTAACCCAACCCTGCACTGATCGTCACCGAGTCGCAAGCACTTTCCTCGAAATTATGACAGTTAAAGCAAGGGTAGCTATGTATACATTTCCCTTATGGATATATTCTATAATTTGCACCGACGGAGGAAGAAGACGCGCGCACTTCACTCCTCCTAGCACTGGCGTGAGCCGGGCAACTTTGGCACCATGTCGGTAACACGAGCCTCAGGCAGAGGGGGCTCGACTAACCAGGCGAGACTTTACCTGCCTGCCGCATCCCATCGATATTTATTGAGTTAGAAATGCCGTAGGTCAGCTCCCCATAGGACTCAGCTGAGTCCGCAATTTCCTACAGGTGCTAACCTGTGAATGTGAGAAACGTTCTTGGCCATGATACGGTGCCTTGATTCAAGAACCAAAATCCCCAGGACGATCACAAGCTACTTTGGGTATAATCAATTTGCATATTTTTGAAGGCTTCAAATTTCACCTTCAAATTCGTAGCTTGCATTTTGCGCTTGTCACATCATCAGCATGTAATCCCCGCCGAGTAACCGATTTGATGGATATATTTTGCACTTGCGTCCATACACACATCAGGAGGAACCGCGCCCAGAAACGTCATCTTAATTTTCTTTTCTCTTCCTGTTCTTTCTTTGGAAAGAAAGATTAAACTGGATGGATATCAAATGTATGTACGATAGGTAAATTAACAATGTAACGTTTACCAAAAATCAAAATATAAAATGCCTTGCGTATTCTCATTTCCTCAGGAAACCAGATGGCCCCCCTGTGGTCCTTCTTAGGCCACCATGAACAGCAGATACCCCTCTCCTATTGCCTGCCATCCAGCTCTCCCTAATAGTCCGGCCCTTTTTCGATGCCTTGGGAGGTAGACTGTTATGCAAATCGGTTTTACCGCCGGCTGCACTGTGGGAGTCTTCAAGAACGCGGATTGACATTGCTCCTAGCCTGACGTCTTTTGGCTTCTTCTCCACTGTGTCTAAAAAGCGAAGCTTGTTGCCTGATGGTTTCAACGCCATAGACGGCTTTTCAACGTCCCTTGGCGGGGTCGGTGGGCGGACAGGTGGTTCGGCGAGTAAGATTTCATCAGGAAGGAATTTAGGGAGGGAGGTTGGAAGAAAAGACGAGGACTGTGCTTTGACTTCAGAACCCTGGAGCGTTGCCGAGCTCTCTGAAAGAATCTCTTCTTGTTTTGAAGCCGGTAACGGTTTGCTTGGAGTTGCAAATTCTACCGGGGCGGGTTTAAATTTCGCTTGGAGTTTAAGACGCTTCTCATGCTCTCGTCGTTTTTCTTTTTTCATTTGTTCTTGTCTGTAAACACGAAGTTTAGCATGAATAATATGGAGAAAACGTAGAGCTGGCTCATACCTTTGTTTGGCTTCTTCTTTTCTTCGTTCCGCCTCTCTCAGTTCCTGTAACTGCTTTGTATTGCTAACAGCCTCGGGGGCCTCATCATCATCACTCATTTCCTCTTCTTGCTGCTGGGATTCGGCCTCATTTTCCTTTATATCATCTTCTTGTACACCGTTAAGCTCTAGTTGCGGTTCTTCGCTATCAAAACGGAGATGGGCAGTTTTCGTTTTCGAGACGGTGCCAGGAAAGGGCTCGTCAGGCTTCACGGATGCCCTAGGTGTAGCAACTGAAGATTCTCGGGTTCCCGGTCGACTCTCTGATCTTATCTCAACCGCTTCGAGCACTTGATAACGTCGCTTGGGCACTCCGTTAGGCTGTGGAGTATTGGATTGGGATTTAGTACCGTCTGCTCTCTGGCCTCTCCGGCGTTTTGGTGTAGGCTCCTGGGCTGCTTCTGTCGTCAACAAGTTTTTTTTTCTCTTTCCATTGGCAGCTGGGGAGCTGTTCCTTGACGAGAAGTCCTCGGACTGCGAAAGAATGGACCTTCGTGTGGCTACGGGCATTGTCTGTGGGTCTGTATTCTCCGCGCCCCTGCTTGAGTTGCTTTGCCTATGAGATGAATCCGAACTCGAAAATAGGCCTCGCGCAGCTGTAACTATATGAGAAAACATAAGGAAAAAGAACCAACGAGAAAACCTATCTCCACATGCACACAACTGGTTGTTTAGTCTCAGGATGGTCCACTTTACCGCCTGTTTTTGACAGAGAAAAATACCATATCGGGATTTTGTTGGTCCGAAAAACCTTTACATTCCTGAAGGTCCACAGTAACCTAAATTAGATTTATTCACATCACCACACTTACAGAGCTTCTACCCTGTACTCTGTATGGAGTTTGGAGGTCTGGGAAGTTTCTGGTCCATGTCGAAGTCGAGGCCATTCAATCGATCTCTCATGTGCGATCCCCCTAGCAGGTGCCAATTGTAGATACCAATATTGTGGTGCAGAATGCCTCAAGTACTGCCTGCTTGTTTGATTCGCCTTTGGCCTTTGCTTTCATGAATGCGTTTCCAGTGGGCTTATTGTGAGGCTTGGTCTTTTACAAAGCGATGCTCAAGCTGCCAGTCATCTTGGGAGAACAGCCTCGCATAATCTGGATGCAGAGGGAGTCGATAAAGGGAACCTTGTTGCCTGAATTCGACGCCTTGTTGGCAGAATGGACACAAGAGCAAACTGATGACAGAACACTGGACCCTCTGAGGCTGAATCGACAGTGAGTACTCCGTATCTCACCCAGCCTCACTCACGTCCCGGCCCTAGTGCCTATGTGGTATTTTGGGACACTCCAGATCTTCCCTTAACGACGGAGTAGATAGATAGACAGTTAGATTCGCAATGTGAATGGATATATAGCTATATTCCTTGGGTCTTCCGAGAAAATGAAGTTTCGTAGAACGCCTCCCACGCCGATTTGCACCTGTATTCCAATCGACAACCAAACATTGAACTAGTGTTTGCTTTTTATCGCTGAGGCCTACCTTCCAAGCGACATATAGATTGCAGCCAGAGAGAGAGAAACGCCGTTAAATGCACCAACGCTGTCAGCCGCTAATTCAAGAGACCCGAAGCGTCCCCAGCTCTTCTCCGCTCCTCAGCTTCTTCAGCAGCCTGTAGATAGTCATCTTCACCGATGTCACTGACATCTTCCCACATCATCTCAAATTCTTTTATATCATTAGGCGGAACGGCCCACATATTCTCTCGTAACCGCTTATTTCTCTCCCGATCCTCCTCAACCCTCTGCTCGATCTGCTTCCTATCAACCGTGATTCCCCCTGACCTCGTTATATCGCCAGACGCCAGTTCCCCATCTACTGCTTTCGAATCAAGAAGATGCTCAGGGTAGCTTTCCCGTTCTCGAAGACATGCGTCTATTTCTGACACGGCTTCTGTGGATAGGATCTCTTTCGATTGTAACCCATTTAGCACACGTCTCACATGCTTCACATTGGCAGCGCCGGACCCGTCCGCGGGTGCAACTGCGTCAACTATCCGTAGTATGTCGCGTTGTATCATTCGAACAAACTCAATGTGATTCTCTTTGGTGGCCGTGTCACAGAGATGCTCGACAAAGTATATTAAATTGGCGCGGATGTTCATATTATTCTAGCAGCAATGTCAGTCAGGCAGGCATGCTACAGGGACATCTATTGGAAAACGGACTCTTTCTAATTGCTCCAGTATACAAGAATGGAGGTCTTCCCCCATGTCACGGTATTTGAGAGCATAGTTCGCTGCCTTCTGCGACGAAGTAAAAGATGCGCTCATATGCTGGAGCATGGTGGTGAACCGCATACGAACTTCAAACGGGTCCGCCATCATGACAGTCGGAAACGAGAATATCGGAATGGAATATTTCGGAAGTGCAATATTCTCATTATTCTGAAACGCAGGGAGCACCCTCGAGAGGAGCGCGTTGATTGCAGGGAAGAAATGCGGGTACGGGTGTTTAGGCGTCGACCGCCATCCTTCGTTCTCGTCGAAAAGTTAGAAAAATCTCCATCCTTGCACGGAGAAAAAGCAACTTTGCCCCTCGATCGTCTCACCCATGCTTATTTGTTAGCCCTGTCGTATTCATCTATTAACTGCCGACAAAACTCAACACCGATTTCTGAATTTGTTTTTACAGTGCACTCCGCGCTGCAGAATCATGTCTGCATCTAACAGTATCCAAGGACTGGGCCTTGCGCCGAGGTCGGGAACTACTCTGACTGTTCTCGGGTGTGGTGCGTTTGCATTCTTGTGATTAATTGATTCTTGACTAGAAATAAGGTGAAACTACACTGTTATACTGATATTTACTATTCGATCGATAAAGGAAATCTCGGGGTTGCTATTTTATCAGGCGTGCTCGCATCGCTGGCCGAGGCGAAAAAGACTGATTCGCGCTTCTTCCCAGGGTGTGGCACGGCGACCCCTCCTGAAGAGGTTTCCCCCCACCAAATCCCCTCACGATTCTTTGCTTGCGTGAGACGCCCGGAGTCTGCGCTTCGCATCCAAAAAACACTCAAGCAGTTCACTCACCCTCTCACAATCCTCCAAAATGACAACATTCGCGGAGTGCAAGAGGCCGACGTCATCATCCTCGGCTGCAAACCGTTTATGCTCAAGGAGGTCTTGGACGTTCCAGGCATGCGGGAAGCTCTCAAGGGGAAGCTGCTTATTAGCATCCTAGCCGGAGTCACTGCTGAGCAGATCGAAGATACTCTCTACGGTGGCACCGACACTCCAGACGGCGACAGGTGCCGTGTTGTACGTGCAATGCCTAACACCGCCGCGATCGTCAGGGAATCAATGACGGTTATCGGCGAGAGCACTCCTCCCCTTCCCCCGAACTGGGAGACGTTGGTGAACTGGATCTTTTCGCGTATCGGGCGCGTGGTGACTCTTCCTGCCTCCAAAATGGATGCTAGCACATCCATCGCTGGTTCTGGACCGGCCTTTGCGGCCCTGGTTCTTGAGGCTCTCGCCGATGGTGGCGTGGCTATGGGCTTACCCCGGGCAGAAGCCCAGGTGATGGCTGCTCAAGTTTTACGCGGAACAGCCAGTATGGTCCAAAATGGAGATCACCCTGCTCTCATTCGCGAGAAGGTTAGCACTCCTGGTGGATGTACGATTGGTGGGCTGATGGTGCTTGAGGAAGCGGGCGTCAGGGGTAAAATTTCCAAGGCCGTCCGAGAAGCTACAGCCATTGCGAGTGGGTTGGGACAGACGCAGAAGGCCAACGGGACGAAATAAACTTCTTGACGCTCCTTTTTCTTTTTTCTTTTTTCTTTTTTTTGGGTTACATGCACCTGCATCACTTGGACGATGGCTTGAACCTATGTGTACGTTATAGATGCCCGCTACCAGAGTGGGTAAATTTTATGAGAAATAGAGATATCCATTGGGACTTTTCCTTTTTTTTTTTTTTTTTTTTTTTTTTTGCGCCAATACATACCTACATAGTCCATGAAATTAATGTCTAACTAGCCGGTCAAATAGCTGGATATTTACAACGAAGTTCTTCTCTCAATGTGGCTGTACTCGGGAAGATGGTCAGCCGAAGCATGCAGCAACCCCTGCTGCTCTTCCGTTTGCCCCTCCCCCAGCACCACATCTTCAAATCCTTCATTCCTCCGATTCCTGACTCCTTCGAGGATGTACCATACATCCTTTTTCGTTAAAAATCCTTCTAAGACTCCTCTATTCACAAATAGGACGTATCGTAGGCCGAGCCTTTGAAACATATTTAAAACGATTTGGAAACTTGCACGGCTATTCATCGTAATAGGAGTTTGATCCATCCAAGGTCGGAGATCAAGGGTCTCAAGAGGATCAGCGAATGGCTGGTGAGAGAAATATGCTTGCGTTTCAGGGGTTAGATTATGCGAGGTCCGTGAGGTCGCTGTTTTCAAAGCGTAGGAGAGTTCGTTACGAGAAATATAGCCGAGTAAGAGGGGGTTGGCGGTGTCCGAGACCACAGGATACCCGCGATAAGATGTTGTTTTTAGGAGATTTGTAAGTGATTCAATAGTGTGCCCCACAGCTGTGATCAATGTAAGGTCGTTGACATTGGTCATAACCTGACTTACGGGAATATCCGGTGGCGGAGTGTCATCCTTTTGGTCAAGGAACGGGTAGTCGTTCAAATGGATCCAGGATTCATAGACACCTCGTTTTCCAAATGTGTCGCCGCACCACTTAGACAGCATGACAGCGATCATTATCGGGATCGCGTAGTTCAAAGCACCGGTTAATTCGAACATAATGACGACGATCGAGACTGTCATCCTCGTAGCACCACCAAGGGCGGAAGCGGCACCAATGATTGCATACATCCCTGGAGTAACACAGGGGACATCTGGCTCGCAATTTGCGAAAAGAAAGAACTTCGGGTGCTTTTTTTGCCAGACATCGAAGACGATTCCGACTGCTCGACCGTAAAGTGCACCGATTGCTAAAGAGGGTAGAATAATCCCGGCAGGGATATCGAGGCCAAAGGTAAAGATTGCGAGAAAGAACCCAAGCGCTGCGGCTGAAAGGAGCAATCCAACCACGCCCAGGGAAGAAACTCCAGTTTTGCAAAGGCCGAGTGGGTTATTAGGAATCTCCTTACAATCCGCAAAGAGGTAATAGACTAACTCGGATAATTGCACCCGCATTAGTATGTTTGGGAAATTGACGACTGCAGTGATTAAAGCAACTATTAGGACTTCCAACACCGGGAAGGAAACTCTGCGAGACTTGCGCCATCTGGCAACTCTCATGTTGAGCTTTATAAAAAGGCCTCCGTAAAGGCCGCCCAATATTCCAAGGAAGATAAATGGGAATATCTCGAAGCGATGGAAGCCTTGAGAATGCTCAACCTGGTAGAGGACGATTTTTCCCGTTCGGAAGGGGTCTAAGGCATGGAGCGTCACAGCAGCCACCATGGCACAAACAAAACTTTGCCACATTGTTTTGTCCGGAAAGTAGTATGATAGTTGCTAGGCAAAATAAGTGAGGGTGAGCTAATTAGGAATCTGGAGATATTTACCTCTAAACTAAACAGGACTCCTCCGATGGGAGACCCAAATGCAACTGAAATGCCTGCTGCAGCGGCAGCCGAGAGGACTTCGCGTTTCCTGGCTGCACCACATATATTAGCACAGTTTGACGGCTTCTTGGTAGATGAAAGTACCTTCATTATGGTTTAGGCTATCCAACGGCTTCATGATGATGTTCGCACAGCAGCATGCAACATGCACTAATGGGCCTTCTTTTCCGAGCCACATTCCGGAAGCCACTGAGAGACACTACATAGGTCGATATGTCAGAGTTACCTCCATCTATTCGAGTGGCTAAGATACATACCAAGCCAAGTGACTTTATCATCAATGTCCATATTCCCATAAAGTTTTCAATGACGAAACCACCAAGGACGGTTTTAATTTCGGGAATCCCGCTGTGTTTGGCATGGATTGCGTAGGACGTGACAAGGAAGCTTGCGATTCCTGCGAATAGAATCTTTGACATATGGTGAGCTCATGGTCCAGGTAAAAGGTGCACATTCAACTTACAGAATAAAAAGTAAAGAAGATATACTCGACGACATAACCTCCACCTTTCGAACCCACGTGCAATGCTTTGCTCCATGGAGTCCAATGCCGACACTGGGACAAGTCTAATCAAATGTCAGCGAACGGGCCTCAGTTCCATCTGGATGTCCTGACCTTCATAGCCCCAGCAGCAGAAGCTTTTATTGAGGTAAAATCGTCCCCCTTCTTCTCCGCTTTGACAAAAACCAACTTTAAGATCTCCAAGCCAACTGCTCGCAATATCTATACAGGCTGCCAGGACGCCTACCACGATTCCAGTGGCGATCAAGACTGCCCACACATGACCAGCATCTAATAGTTGCCGAAGATGCCCCAGAACGCCTTTGCCACCAGAGCGAAGGTGTCGTATCCTCTGGCGCTCCTTTGTATACTCAAATATCCAATCTATCGCAGTAAGGTTGTCGTATCCTACTCTTCGCCCTGGGCCTTCGATATACCAATCCAACGGGCCTCCAACTTTATTGCCTGCATCGACCCCGTTTTGCCTCGATCCGGGAGGGCTCGACGCAGGAATGTCGCGTAGGGCCTCTTCATTGGCATTTTGACTTGATCCTGGGCGGGAAGGAGAACGGGCAGCTGGAGGACTATTCCAAGAAAATGGATTATATAGACCGAATCGAACCGGAGTTTTTTGCTTGCGTTTGAACGAGATTCTACTAATAATGGTCAGACGGAGTAAAACTAATTGCACAAGTCGTATCACAGACGGTTCACTTAATGATTCTGCTGCAGTTGTAGGAGAAGCTCGCACTGTATTGTTCAGGACGTCGTATCCCGAAGCATCGTCGTTGTTGGACTGCTCTGCGGCGCGGCTGCTTGACTGTTCGGGTGGGTCTGGCCAGTTGCCGGATCCTGATGTGTTTATCGACATTGTCCACTACGGACAGCGTTGTGACTATCAAGGGGACCAGCCATCAGGAACTGTCAAAGAGGCTAGGGTCTTGAGCCCGACAGCACTCATAGCTCACGAGATTACAGTCATCGATTGGAGCCTTTCCTGGTGCTGGCTTGGACGGCTTGCGGTTACAGTGTGGCTAGTGAAAGCGGTGAAGGGCCTTTTAGGTGGGTGGGTCCCAAGCACCGCCACATTTTAAGCTTCAAAGCCGGTGGCAGAAAATTACACCCCAAAAAGGAAATTTTTGAATGTCAAATAATAGTCTGATATCCACGAACATTCTCACGGCCGCTGGGAGACCTTGTCTGCCTTGTTGACGGCGTGTGTTGCAAGGATGGAGGGGGAATATGTACACCAGGGAATTCTAGCGGATCCCTGGATCTTGCAGCACTTTCCGGATGAGCTGATCGAGATACTTCGCTCCAGCACCGGATCAGAGGCGTTGGATGAACTATCACGCACGGCTCTAAACCCGCGCTTCTCAACCAAAATACTGATCGCGTTTGAGCCGGTTTACGTAGCCGTCGCTGCCCGGTGGCTCTCTCTGGACTCACACGCTTCGCTCGTTCAAATCATCGCTGCATTCTCAAAAGTTCTACCCCTTGCACAGTATCTCCGGCCTTTCGTGCGCATTACTCTTCAGCGCCAGGATGGGAGGCTACCCTTGTTTTCCATGTCGGGAGACGATAGGCTTCAAGTTACGAGCGACGAAGTGTCGATATCGTTACTTTTATCCCTCTTCCGGTTACTAAGTTTTGATGTGGAAGCATTTTCCTCGGCTGTTTCTCCAATTCAGCTAGAAACACTGTTTTCGCATTCTAGTAAAGTTGTGAGATACTTGAGCGTTCGATGCCTTTGCTTATATATGCATGCCGCAGATGCTGCCATGCTAGCCATGGTGAAAAAATATTGTGGAACGGGTTCGGTCCTTGGGACTTGGGAAGACCAGACAATCGACTACAGATTCTTAAGCCTTTGGGAAGAGAAAAGGTGGTCCGATCTTCAAATTCAGCTAATAAATCGACGAAAAACATGCGGTTATTCGATGTTCGATGCATGGGTCTCGCAACTCCCATCCTTAAACCACTGCTCAAATATTGGTGGCGTTCTAGTACCAAATGGTAGATTGGCCGGGGATACGAACCGTTGCATGCTGGTGAAAACGCCGACAGTTTTGGAAAATCTTCGCAGTGTTGGTCGTGCCCTCCTTTCATCCGAGCCTCTATTGCTCGTAGGACAAGCCGGAGTTGGGAAAACTTCTCTTATCAATCACGCAGCAGATGCTATGGGACACGCTTCAACCATGATTACGTTGCATTTGAATGAGCAGACCGACTTGAAAAGCTTACTTGGGGTATATTCTACATCGACGCGAACAGGGGGGTTCGCATGGCAGCCCGGTTCTCTAACCAGAGCCGCAAAGGAGGGACGATGGGTGCTGATAGAGGATCTGGATCGAGCGCCTTCGGAAGTTCTGAGCGTGATTCTGCCGTTGATTCAAAATCGTGAACTTGTCATCCCCAGCAGGAAAGAGCATATACGCTGTGCTGAGGATTTTAGAATTATTGCTACGATAAGATCGACCGTTAACACAAAAGGCGTTGAGATAGCACCAGTTGAGAGTATGCTTGGGAGCAGACTTTGGCGCCGTGTTCAAGTGAAAGCTTTGCCTCCGGTTGAAATTCGGCAAATTATAAGGGAAGAGTTCCCTCTACTCACGAGCGCCCAATATGTTGAGAGGTTCCTGAATTTATACCATCGGATTACCGATTTATTCCAGGGTTCGACTGCTGCTAGGAGCCTCCAGCGGCGATACGTGGGCCTGCGCGATCTAATCAAGTTTTGCTGGCGAATTGAGCGGCGGCTTAAGAACCTAGGGGTTGTTACCGGCAGGGAAGCGATCCCTGAACGAACGAATGACGAAATATTCATGGATGCGGTTGACTGTTTCGCTGCGTATATACCGAACAAAACATTTCAATTGAATGTGAGCAGTGTAATCGCTGAAGAATTGCACATATCGCCGCAACGTATGCGATTCTGTGTGTTTGAGCGCATGCCAGCTTTCTCAGAAGACCAAGACGGGGTCTTGGTTGGTCGGGAGTTCTGCCAGAGCATAAAAGTCCTAAGGAGTCAAAAGTCCAGGCAGTCGGTAGGAAAGGGTTCTGCCTTCGCTTCTACAAAAGCCTCCTTAAGAACAATGGAGCAAGTGGCCGCAGCGCTGCAGATGTCTGAGCCGGTATTGTTGGTTGGCGAAACTGGGATTGGAAAGACCGCAGTGATTCAAAGATTGGCGACTCTATTGAATCAGCGCCTGACCGTGGTGAATCTTTCGCAACAGAGCGAAACTACCGACCTGCTCGGTGGATATAAACCTATTAACCTTCGTTCCATCGCTGTGCCACTTGTTGACAAGTTTCACTCCCTGTTTGATGCGACGTTTTCAGTGAAGAAGAATCAAAAGTTCTTATCATCTGTTACGAAGAGCATCATTGCAGGGAATTGGACCCGCTTGCTCAATATTTTGAAAGAGGCTATAAAAATGGCATCAGCAGTATTTAGGGAACCCAAGCCTTTAAAGAATGATGGGGGCGAAGCCCGTTCTGAACAGCCTGCAAAGAAGAGAAAATTGGATACATCGAAATACGGCACCTTGAAACAAAGGTGGCAATCCTTCGCCAACGAGTTAACTGAATTTGAGACTCATGTAGCTCGCGGCGATGCAAAGGTTTCTTTCGCTTTTGTGCAAGGGAAAATTGTGAAGGCACTGAAAGACGGGGAATGGGTCCTTCTAGATGAAATAAACCTTGCTTCGCCTGAGACCCTTGAAAGCATTTCAAGCTTGCTTCAACATGGCCGCGATGGGAGGCCATCTGTCCTACTTTCTGAAGCTGGCGAGGTTGATGCTGTTCAAGGCCACCATGACTTCCGTCTATTTGCTGCGATGAACCCCGCAACCGACGCTGGTAAACGTGATCTCACACCGGGGCTGAGATCCAGGTTTACAGAATTATATGTCCAGTCACCGGATGGCGATCTAGATGACCTTTTGAGCCTCGTTAAAACGTATTTGGGTCCTTTACTGCATCGCGACTCGACTGCTGCACCGGCTCTAGCTAATCTTTATCTTGATGTCAAGAGATTGAACGCCGAACATAAGTTGACTGACGGAGCTGGTCAGAAACCCCATTTTAGCATACGCACTCTAGTTCGTGCGCTGCTATATGTGATTGACCAGGCTCATGTATATGGCGTCCGACGCGCCATTTACGAAGGATTTTCCATGAGCTTTTTGACGCTCCTGGGAAAGGAGGCAGAACGTCTTGTTGCCCCTTACATTGAAAAACATCTCTTTGGAAAGCATGGTAATTCTAGGTCTATACTTTCCCAGACGCCTAAGGAGCCAGGTGATGGGTCCCACCATGTCCAATTTAGACACTATTGGATGCGGAAAGGAAACTTTGAACCGGAGTTACAGCCCCATTATATTATTACCCCGTTTATCGAAAGAAATTTAATGAATTTGGTGAGAGCTAGCTCTACCCAGCGGTTCCCAATTCTCTTGCAAGGTCCGACATCATCGGGGAAAACGAGTATGGTTGAATATTTGGCGAAGATTTCAGGAAACAAGTTCGTGAGGATCAACAACCATGAACACACGGATCTTCAAGAATATTTAGGTTCATATGTCTCGGGAGAAGACGGTAGCTTGCGTTATCAGGAGGGTGTTTTAGTGGAAGCCTTGAGGAACGGATATTGGATCGTGCTGGACGAATTGAACCTTGCACCTACCGACGTTTTGGAGGCACTCAATCGATTGCTCGACGATAACCGCGAACTTTTTTTGCCCGAAACCCAGGAAGTGGTGCATCCCCACCCTAATTTTATGCTTTTCGCTACTCAAAATCCAGCTGGTCTCTATGGTGGGAGAAAAATTCTCTCTCGTGCCTTTCGAAATCGGTTCCTCGAGCTCCATTTTGACGACATCCCTGAAGAAGAGCTTGAATTTATCCTAAAAGAGCGGTCCCAGATTGCACCTTCATTTTGCACAAGGATAGTATCCGTTTATCGCCAATTGTCAATATTACGCCAATCGAGCCGGCTTTTCGAGCAGAGAAATAGCTTTGCCACGTTGCGCGACCTCTTTAGATGGGCACTGCGGCGTGCGGATGATCGTGAACAACTTGCTATAAATGGATTCATGCTTCTTGCCGAACGAGTTAGGAACCCACAAGAGCGAGATGCCGTAAGGAAAGTAATCGAAAAGGTCATGGGCATTCAAATTGATGAAGATTCCATATACAGCACACGCAATGTGGAAGCCCGTTTCCGTCAACTATCTGCGGCTCCTCCGCATGGGATTGTTTGGACACGGGCGATGAGGAGGCTTTTTATTCTTGTCTCGGACGCTATCGAGCACAACGAGCCCGTCTTGCTGGTAGGAGAGACAGGCTGCGGGAAAACTCAGCTTTGTCAAGCTGTGGCTGAAACATATGGAAAAGAGCTTTATGTCCTGAATGCTCATGCCAATCTCGAAACCGGGGATCTCATCGGCGCGCAACGCCCATTGAGGAATAGAGGACTCATCAAACAGGAACTTGTTACAGATATCTCCTCCATTTTACAAGAGTGCGGTTCTATGCCCACTCTCGGGGAGCCATCGTTGGACGATTTGAATAGTGCCCTAGCCTCCGTCTCCCCAACTAAGCTAGAGAAATGCAACCAGGATACCTTGAACCGAATCCGTCACAACCTTACAAGGGTCAACGCGCTGTTCGAATGGTCTGATGGGAGTCTTGTTTCGGCTATGAAAAGCGGCCAGCATTTTCTGCTTGATGAACTGTCTCTTGCAGATGATTCAGTCCTTGAACGTCTAAACAGTGTTCTCGAGCCACATAGATCTCTCCTACTCGCTGAAAAAGGTCCCATAGATTCATTGGTTGTTGCTGCACCTGGGTTTCAATTTCTGGGCACCATGAATCCAGGCGGTGACTATGGTAAAAGAGAGCTATCGGCTGCCTTAAGGAACCGCCTTACTGAAATATGGGTTCCGCAATTGTCAGAAGCAGATGACATCCTCCCCATCCTCCAGGTAAAGCTGCATTCATCTCTTCAAAATATAGCAAAGCCAATGATGGAGTTCGCGAAATGGTTTAAGGAAACTTTCCAGGGGTCCACTTCTGGCTCAATCTCAGTTCGTGACTTGCTTGCGTGGGTTAATTTTGTCAACGACTGCCGAAATCTTCAACCTGGCCTGGCGGTGGTTCACGGGGCATGTTTGGTGTATATTGATTCTTTGGGTGCAAATCCTTCTGCGATTCTAGCCGTTGCGTCTGGGGATCTCAATAAGGATCGTCGTCGATGTTTGGAAAAACTTGAGCTAATATTCTCATTCGACGCTGTGTCGATGTATTTCTGCGAGACTCGTCTCGATATCGATGAAGAACGAATGGTAATTGGACCTTTTGAACTCGCGGTCGGTTCTAATTCTCAGCCCGATCCCACCTTCGCCCTCGACGCCCCTACAACTCTATTGAATACTCTTAGGGTTGCAAGGGGGCTTCAGTCAAGCCGACCAATTCTCCTCGAAGGAAGTCCTGGAGTTGGGAAAACGACACTTGTTGCCGCGTTAGCCCGTGGACTGGGAAAACCGCTCACCCGTATTAACCTCTCAGAACAAACTGATCTGACGGATTTATTCGGTTCAGATATCCCTGTCGAAGGCGCTGAAATCGGGAACTTCGCCTGGAGCGATGCACCATTTCTACGGGCTATGCAACAAGGTGGATGGGTTCTCCTCGACGAAATGAATCTTGCTTCTCAGTCTGTTCTTGAGGGGTTGAATTCTTGTTTAGATCATCGACAGCAGGTATACATTGCAGAGCTTGACCAAACATTTAAGAGGCATCCGGACTTCGTTCTTTTTGCCACACAAAACCCACATCATCAGGGAGGCGGTAGAAAAGGGCTGCCAGCATCATTTGTTAACCGATTCACAGTCGTCTACGCTGATTCCTTCACTACAGATGATTTGAAGCTTATTTGCCGAAGGCTATCTCGACGAGTTCCTCCTGACCAGGTAGAGCGAATGGTCGAATTCATTTCTACATTAAACATCCGATTACTTAGCGATCGCCGTCTAGGAGCAATCGGAGGCCCATGGGAAATGAATCTCCGGGATCTTTCTCGTTGGCTTATGCTTTCAGAAAGGTTCGAACTGGGAGATCATCCATCTCAATTTCTTGATATTATAGTCAGCCAACGGTTTCGAACGCTGGAGGATAGAAAGGTCGTCTCGAAGCTTTACGAAGAAATTTTTGGAACGACTCCTATTTCCAAAAGCTATTTTCACAATCTAAGGCCGGATATTTATCATATAGGGATAGGTACCCTCCAGCGTGATCAGATATTACAACATGCTTCTAGGAGACAAATTGAGATCCTTCCCAGAGATCTCCCTATTCTTGAGTCGCTTATGCTATGTGTGGAGAAAAGATGGCCGAGTGTGCTTGTTGGGCCTTCTGGGTGTGGTAAATCGGCTACTTTGCAAAAGCTTGCAGCACTTAGCGGAGCTAGGATTGTCGAACTGGCTCTGAATGCAGATACAGATGCAATGGACCTTATTGGTGGTTTTGAGCAACGTGATGACCATCGCCAAATATCTAGCCTTATTGACGAACTTGCAGGTCTTTTACAATCCTGCATAATTCAAGCGTATTCCGGCACGGGATCGGGTGGGCTTGACCCCGAGCTAACGAAGCTCTACAAGATGATCAATAGCGATCCACTACGCCTCGAAGATATTTCAGATTCCCTTTCTCGCATTTCTAATGACCACGGGAATCCAGGTCTTAGAGAGCTCAGCCACCGTTGTACGCAACTCGTGGCAGGAAGTAGCAATGAGCACATTGGGTTTGAATGGACTCCGGGCCTGCTAATTCATGCCATGCAGCGGGGGGACTGGGTCGTCCTGGACAATGCCAACCTTTGCAGCGCCACGGTACTGGATAGACTGAATTCTCTCATGGAACCGGATGGCTACCTCATTATTAATGAGCAACGAACAAGCGATGGATCGGTACAAATCGTGAAGCCGCACCCCCATTTTCGACTGTTCCTGACCATGGATCCCAAATACGGCGAGCTTTCTCGAGCAATGCGGAATAGATCTATTGAAATTTTCTTTCTACAGCAAGGTGACCCGAACCCAGTCCCTTCCTCGATGATCACGTATAGTTGTGACTCCGCTATATATCGCCTTCGGAATTGTCACACTTTCAACAGCAGTGAGCCTTCTGCCGTAAATGACATCGCGTTTGAAATTTCCTTGGACCATTTAACCCCAGCAGATATCACCGAGATCAATACCTCCTTGCCTTCATTTATACAGTTGTGGGCCGGAAACAAAGCTCTAACTGAATCAATATCTCTTGCATTGAACCGTTACCATTCTCTGGTTGCAAATAATTCGTTAGTCGGCTGGCCGGAATATGTTTTGCTTAGTGAACTGGTCGATAGCACCAAATTTCTTCAGCCGCAGCAGCATACTGAGGTAAGCCTGGGTCCTAATTTGCTGAATTTGTAGCTAATTTAATCCGGTTAGCCGCTCCATCCCCTGATCAATGAGCCGCGCCTGTTCCATTACCCCCTTATTTCTGATCATCGATCTTGCCTTATGCGCCTTGCCAAGCTTCAGGAGATCCAACTGGACACAGCTCGCTTATATCAAGAGCTATCCCGTGTGGGTAACATAGCGCGAAGCAAAAAGGCTTCTGATATGAATCGACTAGAGCGGTCTATGACGTCCAGCACTATCGCGGCTCATAAAAAAGACTCGACGGTGCTTGTTTCCGTATTTCTGGGTGATTCATGTCAGCTGTTGACGAATTTCATTCGAGAAATAAAGTTAGCATTCCTAGACGACAATGCCGTTACTGGTGCCGGTTCCATTCTTGAGTTTTGCTGGGATGTTTTTTATCTCAGTATGCAAGCGGATTTTGAGGATGCCCTTTTCTTAACATACATAAAGGCTGGACAATCTAATGCCAAAAAGTACGAATCTGCTCCCCTGCATCTAATGGAATTGTGGTCGCGGATGCTGGACAGTTTCCAAGCAAACTGGCGCTTGACCACAGGACAAAGTATGCAAATGATGTGGGAGGCCTGGAGACCAGCAACCGCATCCGATCCTGTTAGTTTGCAGCAGATGATGAAGCTAGAACAACTTTGCTCGCGCTTTGATGAGATGGTTCAGAAGACGAATCTTAGCCTTACTGAGCGCAGCCAATTAAGTAACTCCCTTGCAGGGGCAAAGAGCTCCTTGTTGCTTGGTGCCGATGGCAGCCGGCTGGTCGATGTATGTAAACTCCGAACTAGAGACAGCACCTGCGTTACTGACACTGAGGCTAATAGGATTTAACCTTTGCTATCAATGAACTGGCAAAACGCCTTCATGACACTAAAAGTATTGTTAGCCCTTACTTTTCTGCGGAGTATGAAGCACTTTGTCAGTATCATGACCTTTCCGGATGGCACAGTATTGAGGATGCAGGGTCTCTACAAGGAGTCCTTAAATTGCTTGCGGGCCGACCTTCAAGCCCTTCTGATATTTCCCCGTTCGGGAACGCCGCGCCTGGTCTTCTTTCTGACATTTCACGGTTTGCCGGATTCCGGAGTCCTCTAAATACTGCTTTTGCATTGAAAGGCACTATATCCCTCTCGTTAATCCAGAAACTGAAACAAATCGGAAACGTGCCCCTTAGCCAAATGGACCTCCTACACACGGAGTTGGCATTCCTTTCTAAGGCGTTGGCTTCAAGTGCAGTGGAAATCTCTCGGGACCAGTTTGCGCTGCTTACAAGCCACTTAAAAGAGTTACTCAAAGGATACTTGGTTTGTCACCGGAATTTGATCGCCCCTCAATCGCTCGACGCTGTGATTACGGGCCTTGACGGGGATAGGAAGCTGAGCTTACCACTAAATGGTCTGGAAGCTGATGTGATCGAGCCAGCGGCGCATAAAGACGCTGCTCATGGCTCATTTGTGATAAAGACGGTCTGTGATTGCTTCCATGATCTAATCACAGACCAGGGGGTATCAAACCCATATCTACAGCATGGGAAAGCGCTTATAAGATTTGCCATGGCATTACTCAGGAGTTTTATTCCAGATCGGCCTTTTGATCCCTCCTTGGCAGTTGTCGTCGAACGTGAAAGGTACGGTAAACGAATGCTGGAGAGGACCCAAAGGCTTCAAGCCGTGAAAGCTTTCGAAACTAGATATTCCGGGCAGAGCACGAGTTTACGAATTCGAGTTTTGGAGGATGAATTGCGAAGCTTGGGAAAAGAGCCATCACAGCCGTCAGTTTCTAGGCCCAAGCCGTCTCGGCTGAGCGCGCTTCAAGGAGAATTTATGAACATTGTAACTTCCATCCTGAGCAAAAGCGTGGAAGACATCTTCGTCTCCTGTCAGAGTCTCGGTGGGCAATCAGGACCTCATCTAATCCAACAGAATATTCGACAAATGTGTGCTCGGCTTGAGAGAAATTACCGTGCCTATGACGATATCACCGTTCCAGTCGTTCGATTTCTTGAATTACTCGACCTTGGAATAGGTCTCTTTCAGTATAGTCAGGTAGGCCCGACAGATCAGCAAAGCTTCGTTCGCGACATTAGTCAAGCCACTCCATTCCTCGGCCAGGCACGGACCTCTGCTCGCTTGCTCCGGACGATTGGGGCACCCCATCTCGCTCGGTTAAATCTAGAAACAGATCTGTATCGTCTATCCGTGATCAGCGCCTCCCAGAACACCGACTCTAGAACTCTCCATGATGTCGATTATCGTGAAATCTTGCGCTCCTCTCTGCAACATCTTTACATGCAATGGAAAGAACAACTGCAGGCAGACCAAGTCAAAGAAGCTGAACGGTCCGCGTTGTTCCGCTACCGTGGGTCTGTTGAAGATCAAGACGAGATAGATGCAGAGGAATTACTGCATATGTTTCCCACATTTGACGAAGAACCCAAGGCTCAGGGAGAATCCCTCGCGAAATTCGATAACAAGGGCGTGGCCTCAAAGCTGTCCAAACTTTTTAAAGAACTTTTCACCACAGGAGATAGAGAACTGGAGATTAAGGGACTAATTGCGAAAGCCACAGAACTGATAGGATCCATTCTACCAGGGGATGAGCTGTCAGTGCCCTTAGTTCAACCCCAAAATCATCTATCAGCAGTGTTATTATTATTGGAGGACGAAGTTCATACTAGTCCCATGAGCTCTTACAACTTTTACACAGATCCAAATTTGCCGGAAGTGAAAAAGCTTGCCGATTTGGTTGAAAGGACGCAGCGGCGATTTTACGAACTTCAAAGGTCCTGGCCCGAGCACGCAACTCTGGCAGATGCAATTACCTGCTGCTCTGAAATTTACCAATTCAAGCACTGTGAGCCAGTCGCTAAATTTCTCACCAAAGCTGAAAAGCTGCATGGATATATCCATGAGTGGCAAACTGTTGCAAGCAAGGAGTTCTCTGCTGCCAATTTCTACGATGAGCTTACTGCATTGCTAATCAGTTGGAGGCGCCTTGAGCTGTCAACATGGGCCCGCCTGCTAGATATCGAATACGAGAAGTGTGAACAGGATGCCGATGGATGGTGGTTTGTTGCTTATGAAGTGATTGTTGCGACACCCTTGCAATTAATCCAGGAGGGTCAAGATTTGGTCAGCCATACTTGCGAACTCATATCAACATTGGAAAAGTTCATTTGTTCGACGCCAATCGGGCAATATCGTTCTCGACTGCAGCTTGTAGAAAGATTCAATTCCCTTCTCCAACTCTACGCTATCGACTTTCCATCTCTCCGTCGGGTTATCTCTGCGCTCGCGAATCTGATCAATCATTACAAACCGTTTGTGCAAATCTTTGAGGAGCAGTTGTCAAACGGTCGGAAGTCACTTGAAACCGATATAAAGCAGGAAATACTGCTTACAAGTTGGAAAGATACGAATATTACCGCTCTCAGGGAAAGTGCTCGACGCTCACACTACAAGTTATTCAAGGTTGTACGAAAGTATCGTGCAATCTTAGGCCAACTCTCAGATAGCACCATCGAAAATGGGCTTCCTACATCTGCCTACAAGTCGGAGCCAGCTGTAGTAAGTTCATTGCATAAACCGGAGGCTGTATCTTCCACTGCTCTCAGCATATGCCAAGAAGTTATTTCTACCTGGGGTTCGAGGCCAGCTCGGTTCAAGGATATAGACGCTACCACGGGGAACATGCGCCATGTTTACCAAAGGTGCTTTGCCGATTTCAGTGTTCCCTGCGAATTGGATGCGTTTATCCGTGATGTAATCGACAGTATCAATGATTTCAAATCCAAGACTCCCAAAACCCTTACAGAAGAAAACAAGGAGGAGGTACAGCACCTCAAAGTTCAGAAACGTCGATTCTATGCCGAAAAATTACGAGAGCTTCGACATATGGGTATCCGGTCCAACCTCGGTACCGATATATTAGAAAAGCAAAGTTCCCGCTCGTCCATTTTAGCCAGCACACCAGCCCTTGCCTGTTCTAGAGAATTCCATCAGATCGAAAGTGCTGATTCTTATTTTCATCGATTTGTGGATTTGTTGTCAAAAGCACGACAGGCCGCTCGAGAGTACTCAGAAGACTTGAGCAATGTCGAAGCCGGAAGGAGTGCTGGTTTTGTGGAGGGAATTCTCTCTCGAGCCCGGACTGAAAGAACAACCATTTATCCAGCATTAACTGCTCTCGACTCTCTTACTACAGTCATCCAGGAAATGGACAGCTTATCTTGTCTGAGCAAAGGGTCTTTGCGCGTTAATGCTGCAATGGCTGTTCATGTCAAAGATCTTCAAGGGACACTCCGTTGGTTGTCTGCTCTGCTCGAAACTTCCGTAGCGATTCTGAACATCCATGCAAGGCACACAAATACCGACCTTTCTCGAGTACTCAACGAGTTAAGTTCGAGGAAAGATCAGGCTGAAGGTTCTTACCTTGCGCTGGAAAGTCTTGCCACGCTTCCTAAAGGGTTGTCCTCGGACGTTCATGAAGATCAAATCTTGCAAGCTCAAACGCTTATTACACAGATTCAAACCGACGTGATCCGCTTGGGCCAGACCCACCCAGACGTAGCTTTTGCTATGGATCAAATCCTTCCTTGGACTAAAATCGATTTGTCAGAATATCCTAACCCTAAGGATGGTCGATATTCAGCGCTTCTTCTCAAGGACATTGATAAATCGCTGTTGTCAGTTATTGATAAGGTCTTCGTCGTACTTCAACGTCTCAGCAACTGTTTGTCATCTTATCCTGCGTCCACTGAGAATACCGGCTGGCTGGCAAAGACCGATAGTGTTCTCTCGAAAGCACTCGAGGAACTGCACATGGAGGAAATCGCAAATAGTATGTCTTCGGTCTTGAACACAATTCGGCTCATTTCTATGCAAACCCCCAATGAGTTGGATACCGTGATAGCTATTATATCTTCCCTACTGCCCATAATGCATCAATATCGATATATTTGTGTTGATTTGGTGCACCGTTACGCCAATCTACACCGTGAAGTTTGCAAAATGGGCTATGTGCTCTCCAACTCGTTTATCCGCGTGGCTTCTGAAGGATTTTGCAGCCCGACGGAGGCCTCTGACGAACAAGGCTCGAGCGGGAAGTTGGAAAACGGAACCGGTCTCGGGGACGGAGGGGGCGCTGAGGACATTAGCAAGGACGTTCAAGACGACGAAGACCTTTCTGATCTAGCGCAGCAGAAATCTGAAAACCACGGTGAGAAAGACGATATTGAAGCGGCGGATGATGCAGTCAACATGGACAATGAAGACCTCGAAGCAGACGCGGAAGACTTTGAACAAAAGGAAAAGGGTCAACAAGATGAGGATGAGTCAGATTTAGAGAGTGCTGATAATATGGATGAAGAAGTCGGGAGCGTCGATGGGTGGGACCAGGATGCAGTGGATGAGAAACTTTGGGACGGGAAAAATAATCCTGATCAAAAGGACACTGAAAATGAAGAAGGCAAGGGGTCATCCAACACAGACGAGCAAGCCGCAGCACCCGAGAAGAAGGATAGCAAAGCAAATGAAGCGGAAGACCCAGAGGCTGGGAGTGACAACGAAAACCCTGAGCCACCTGATGATGAAGCAGAGGCAGTTGGTCGTGAGGACATGGATGTAACTGAGCCAAACTTGAAAGAAGAGCAGGTTCTGGATTTGCCGGATGATATGGAACTCGACGAGCAAGAGAAAAGAGCTTCGGACATTGACGATACTCTAGATGAGGACTTTCCAGATGATGACATGGAAATGGGAGAGAACGAACCTGGTGCGGATGAAAAGATGCCAGATCCGCCCAGCCAGGATCAAATAGATGAAACTGCAGATGATTCTATGGACGAGAACCAAACGCTTCGTGAAGAGCAGGGAGAAGATCTTTCCGAGGCACCAGTAGAGGACGATGAACGAGATCTGAAGCCAGCGGAAAGAACTGACGAAAGGTCGGAGCCAGAAAATGTCGTGCCAAGCGAGGCACGCGCAGAAGGCCTGGAGAGTGAACAAAATGATGAAAAGGGACAATCAGGCGAGGCCGTCACAGACCAAGATTCTAAAGAACAAACCGAGACTAGCCAGAAGCAAGAAAGCAGTGCACAAGGTGGTGAAGAAGGAGAGGTGTCAGGCAATCAAGCTGGTGGTAATGCAGAAGACGCTGTCGAAGATCCTCAGGCCCAAGCATTCAAAAAACTAGGCGATATATTGGAGCAATGGCATCGCTCACAGCGCAAGATCAAAGAAGCATCTCAGGACGAAAACCTTGAAATCCAACATCGCGATGTTAACATGGAAGAAGTGGATTTCGAACATCTGGCCAATGACGAGGATGCTGCGGATACCGAGGCCCTTGGTCAAGCAAGCGAAGAGCAAGTGAGAAACGTGGATCAAAATCAGGCCATTGAGTCAAATGAACAGCCCGACAATGACGATGTTCTTCCGGACGCGGCTGACATTGGGGAAGACGGCCGGGCACAGGCGTTGGAAGATGTGATGCAGCTTGACTACACTTCTACTCAAGCAGATCAAAAGGAAACGATGCCTCTTTCTACTATTAACAATAAGGAAGAACATACTTTAAGTGAGCCAAACGGACAAGTCGAAGCACAGGAAAATATAGATGATGTGGATCGCCAGCTCTCAGAGATACATTTGTCCTCTGACCTACCTCCGTTGACCCCTCCCGACGAAGCACGAAGGCTTTGGTCCCATTACGAAGCAATCACCCATGACCTCTCGCTATCCTTGACCGAGCAACTGCGACTAATTTTAGCACCTACAATGGCAACAAAATTGAGAGGAGACTACAGAACAGGGAAGCGGCTGAACATCAAACGCATTATTCCGTATATTGCTTCCCAGTACAAACGGGATAAGATCTGGATGCGTCGATCTGTGCCCTCTAAAAGGAACTATCAGATCATGTTAGCTGTCGACGACAGTAAATCCATGTTAGAAAGTGCTAGTGGTCAACTTGCCTTCGAAACCCTTGCGCTTGTATCAAGGAGCCTAAGCATGCTAGAAGCCGGCGATCTATGCATCGTAAGCTTTGGCAATGAGGACCATATTCGTGTTGCGCATGAGTTCGGCAAAGCATTCTCGTCCGAGGCGGGCTGTCAGGTCTTCCAGCAATTTAGCTTTAGGCAAACCGGAACAAACGTTAAGAGGCTCGTGCAGGAATCTATTGCCCTCTTCCGCGAAGCCAGAGCGAAACGATCTTCCAGTAGTGGTGATCTCTGGCAGCTACAGCTAATTATCTCCGATGGTATCTGCGAAGACCACGATGATATCCGCCGACTACTTAGACAAGCCCAAGAGGAGCGAATTATGATTGTCTTTATCATTGTTGATGCAGTTAAAGAAGAAAGCGGCTCAATCATGAATCTCACGCAAGCCACCTTTGAAGCAGATGAGTCGGGCATAGCGGGCGGTAAATGGAAAATGAAGCGATATCTCGAAGGATTCCCCTTTCCATATTATCTGACTGTGAGAAATGTGCAGGAATTGCCTTCTGTTTTATCACTGGCGTTGAAACAGTGGTTTGCTGAGGTGGTCGAGTTATCAACATAGACTGGCATGGAGTAATTTGCCGGGTTTTGTGTACATAATTGAATGTCTGGTTTCTGTGTCTTCATGTAAAATTGGGGATGGCGTTTTCTAGAGAGGTCTCAAAAAATGGATTCTTCCTTTGTTGTGATAACAATGGCTACGTTAACTTGTGCACTATACATCCTGCTCTGAATCAAAATTTGGTACTCAGGAGCTCGACAGGAGATGGACAATCGGATAAGATCTGTCAGCAAGATAAGATAAATGGGCTTTGTATCTGATAACATCTGAACTGATAACTTTGCATGAGTAAACCAGTCTGTCGCATTCGCCAGGATGCTTTTAAGGAGTACGATATGAGCCCTAGAAATATCTAAATAAAGTCACACTGCATTAGAGAAATGTCGAGGAGTGCGATGGCGATTCCATGTGTATCTACTAAATCGTATGGGAGCTAAAAATGCTTATTACCGTTCCCTGCAGCTGCAATGCATGGTCATGCTAGGAGAGGAATAAGAACAACGTACATATGCCATTATTAATGACACCATTACCGATAAAACCTCACGCCTCCGACCCTAACCCTGAACAGAATCCAATAAAATAAATAATGTACAAGTCACCACCCGTATCTGGAACCTGCTTCTTTCCGATTCCTCTTGCCAGCGGCAAAACTATCTTCAAGCGCATCCCGTTGGTTGCTCACAGCATTCACTAGCTGTTGCAAGCTGTGTTTACCTGGCGCAATTGAGCGAACAGGATTATGTTGTTGAGCGGCTAGTTCTTGTTCAGACATCGAGGCCAGGTAGGCAGAGTTGGAATTATACTCTTCGTCGGTGTTGAATGTAAGGATTTTGGCATCAGCTGCCGAAGTGCGGCCTTTACGGCCCATGAGCTGACGTATTTCAGATTGAGAAAGATTTAGGTCGCTCGCGATGTTTTCGAGCGAGTTGGAGTGGGTCGGCATGGAGGTTCTATCATCTTTGTGCATAGACAATTCTTTTGTGGGGAGTGCTTGCGATTCTAGAGAAGTAGATCCGGAAGAAGGCGCATAAATCAGAGGCTCGTAATGTGAGGGTTGCGCGATCAATTCAGCTGTAGGGCCAGCAGGTTCATTACTGGATATTCCAAATAGATTCACCTTTGGCTTCGATACTACCGGCTCTGTCTTAACTGCTGTTTGCAGTTCAGATCCCTTGTTCACCGGCACTTCCCCCTTAACATCGCCTATGGACTTTTGCGGAGGTGCTTTTGGTTTCTTCTTGGTATTTTGGGCAACAGATAGCGGTTTAAACATCATCGGGTTACCTTTCTTCACCACAACTGGCTCGTCCTTCGTCGCTGGTAGAGCTCCGGATGAATCGTTTTCGACAGTATCCCCGTTCTGGTTGTCCTCTAAGAATCCCGACTCGGGTTCCCTAACAAAGCCTGGAGCAGCGCTTGTTTTGAGACTGAATACTGGCCGAGAAGCAGCAGTACTAGACACCTTTTTGCCATCTTTATCTTGGGCGGCCCGCTTAGGTGCTGGAAGCATAGCGTTGAATCCAGCAAAGGAATTGCCACCACCTATCCTCGCCCGTTTTCGAGCCGGGCCCTCTTCTGAGGCTGCATCTCTAGCTTCATCACCCGTTTCCGTATTCGAAAGATTCACCAGGATTTTGCGCGGGTTGCTGCGATCAACGAGCGGCTGGAAGATGTTTATTTTTGAGGACGTAGGCGCGGGATGTTTCCGTGAAGCAGGGGCTGTTTTCGGAGCGGAATCCGAGTCTGAGCCTTCCGAATCCGAATATGTGACTAGCGCCATACCGCGTATATGAAGGAGAACGTTGAGTTCGAGGATTTTCGAATGTATATACCAATTCCCGATGACGATGTTCTGGGAGGCGAGAGCATTAAAGTTCAACCAGGAGACCTGCTGACTCAGCAGCCAGCTCAAACTTGCGCGAATTGTGGCGCAAAGATCTACAACGAATATCAACGCGATGGACAGACTCCTCCATATCCAATGAGCCTCTTTGCCATGAAATACAGTTTTCAGACGGTGAAATGCCTGGTGACCATGGATCCCAACATGAAGAAGGCAGAAAAACCACATCCACGAAATCTGATGATGACTACAGCACGGGACGGCGCAAGTTTCGATTGAAATCAAAGCATTCAAGCAAACGCGAACAAGACCATGAGAAAAGCCGGAAACGTCGAAGTCACCACAGTAGCGATGGTCAACGGTGCCACAAACATCGCAAGTCTTCCCGCGGTGGAGAAACATTTGACGAACGTCCGCTCTCTCCAAATGCCGCATTCCGGGAGTCTCTGTTCGATGCGCTAGCGGATGATGAAGGCGCGGCATACTGGGAAAGTGTATACGGTCAGCCTATTCACACGTACCCTCGCCCAGAGCAGGCCGACTGCCAGGGAGATCTTGAAAGGATGACCGATGAGGAATATGCGTCATATGTCCGAGCACGAATGTGGGAAAAAACACACCAGGCTGTGTTAGAAGAACGGGAACGGCGTCGCCGAGCTCGCGAAGCTGAAATGAAGGCAGAGAAAGCCAGGCGAGAACAAAGAAAGGCAGAGCCAGGTCGCGAAGCGTTTGAAAAGATGATCGATGAGAGCCTGCGCCGCGGAAGAGATAGAAAGGAACGGAAGAGAAAGGCCAGTTTGTGGGCCGATGTGTGGAGTCGCTATTTAGAGAGCTGGAAAGAACTTGATACCTTGGCACGCGAAGCTGCATCTAAGACTGAGGCAGCGTCTCCTGATAGTTTTACTTTACGCCTTCGCAATCTTATTGTCTGGCCCGTTGAGACTGGAAAACGCAAAGATGTTACTCCACAAACCATAGAAGAATTCATTCGCAATGCGCCATTTCAGCAAGGGGCCGGAGCCAGCGCCTCCACATCTAGTCAAGAGACGGGTTCCGCAAGCCCACATTATCCTGACCTTATTACGGCACTGAAAATGGAGCGTGTCCGTTGGCATCCTGATAAGATTAAACATAGATATGGTATTCTAGGGATGGAAGAGCAAGTTGACAAGAGCGCAACTGAAGTCTTCCAGATATTGGACAGGATGTGGGTTGAAGAGCGTGCGAAATACAAGCTGACTTAGCAATTGTTTCTATGTATAACTATTGATACCCCCCTATACGTAATATATTATTCTAGTCTTCATGGCTGAAAGAAGTGTTTGAATTCCAAAAGGGTGATTCCTCATCTTCAACGACTAAATTCACGCAGCGAGGATGATATATTCTTTATTTCCATAAGATCTCAAGCACGGTGAGGAAGCGTGTTATGACCTATGTAAGTCAATGGCCGGCCAGTTGGCTGTGAACCGTAAGAGCCTCAATCGGACCCCGGGAAATGTTGGCCAAGAACGCTAAATGAGTTCCGATGAGAGGGCGCTTCGGCAAGCCGAGCATCGAGCTTACCGGAGAATTGTTTCTGATATCCTTGACCTCCATCACTGTAACATCTTTCATCATAATCTCAGTCGATATTAGCTTTTTCTAGGGCTAATTTTCATGGTGTCTATCTGCTTATTGGACTTTGGGATTAAGTCGTGCGATCATACCGATTGGCACAACTAAACGAATGGAGACCACTTTATTCGTAGTCGCCAACTTTGATCAAGGGACCATATCACCTTTACCGGCGGGGTTGAATTCCAAGAGCTTTGACATTTCCTTTTATTCGTCACTCATCCAAAACCCCGACATTCTGGAACATCGCTCATAGAAACTGAGACACAGATGTAGAAATACAAAGGGTGTGTGTCTGCCAAGGAATGGTGTATAATAGTAACGCTCAAAATAGACTATGAAACAAGTAGTAGAGATGATCGCTGGGTAGAATTAATTGCCCGGGATCAAAACCTCGAGCCGCGTTGGCTCGTTCTGTAAGCCGTCCAGCCAGCGTAACCACCCGCGATAAGAATCAAGAACATGAAGAACTTGAATAGGGTCCAGAGCCAGCTTCCTCGTTCTTTTACCTCGGCAGTTCCAGATGTGCCCTGGTTTGCAGCCTTCTTTCCGCTATTAGCTGGCTGGGAGCTTTGACCCCCGGATTGCGCATATATAGAATAGGTGTTCACTTCTATAATGTCGTGGTTATCGCTGAGTTCGCCAGTCTCGGCTGAGAATCCGAGATAAGAGATCGATGGTATCTTGATAGACACATCGTTGCTTGGAGTAATTTTAAAGCAAGGAGTCCAACTGTAATCTGACTTGTATTGGAGATCGAGGGCAAGCGACTTATCCTGGAAGTAAGTCAACCGGGCCTTTGTAGGTATCGAAGAGCCACGAAGCCCTCGCGCCTAGTTTAACGAAAGCATTTAGTAGAGCTATTGCAGAACAAAGAATAGAACAAGCTTACCGAGCAGGAGCCGATGTCATTAGCTCTGCCATCATAGGCGGCATCATATGCCGTTTTGCCATCTCCCATCATGGCCATGACCAATGGAAAGGACACGCCGGTCCGTCCATTTTTGTAGGTGTCAAAGAAGATCCCCAATCCCTCGAATCGATCGGCGGAACCAAAAACGGGGCCAGAAGTCGCGCGCTGCTTCGTGAGCCATAGGGCGAAGCCATCACCATGGAGGCTACCTTCACCGTGGATTTTGAATTCCAATTCAATCTGAACATTACAAAGTTCGGTTAGTTTCCAAATTGCGCAGTCGAGGAACGAACGCAAGACGATAGAAGGAGCAGTTCTAACATACTTGCCAGTTCGTGGCAGTCAAAGGAACACGGGACCAAAGCCAACCCCGTTGAGAAGGACGATCAGAGGTGAGACGGATATATCTAGTCGAGTCAGTGAACACGGAGCGATGAATTGAAATCCTCGATCTTGATATAAAAGTAGTAATCCGTATTCTGAAGTAGGGTGTCTCACTGATCAGTGCGAATAATTGTATCTCCCCCGAAGTCAAACCACCGGTGATGCAGATCGGAATCTAAGTAGGGCTACGCCGGAGGAAAATGTTAGAGGACCAGCTCTAAATAGGTTCAAGGGCGATCCGCTTCGGGAAGTGCTGCACACCTGTTGTATACTAAAGGCTTTCATCTAACAGCAAGATAGAGTTGGCAATCAGTCTAACAAGAGCTAAAAGGGGTGGCGATCACATACTGGCACCCTCCTTGTATTTGGATCATTCTCAAAATTATTTTCATCGCTGGCAAGGACCACGCCCAGCCCGAGGACCCATAATAGCAGAGTCGATAACAGTTGCGGAAGCATGATGCGGCGTTGAAGCATGAAAAGGAAATGGAGAATATTAAGAATAGAAAAGAAAATCAAAGGAATGTGGTCAAGGGTAATGTCGTGTCACCGAATCATCAGCGTATCAACCGCTGCCCTCTGTAGTTTAATTATCGATGTCGGCCAATAATGTATGTCAAAGGAACGGATGCGAAGATATGAAGGAGCATAGAGCTAGAGACTACGAATTGGAGTCTCAGGAGCTCTCTTAACTATGTGTTTCTTCCTATAGAACAAAAAACAACAGTCGTCAGAAAAGGAAAAGCAGAGAGGAAGACATCACCGGGTTGTCCCCTCGCTGAAGATTGCCGTATCTGGACGATTGCTCAAGGTGTCCATTTCGAAAGGTGGGAGGTTCGGCTTAGTCATCTAGAAGCTATCAATGTCGGCAATCTATATGGGTCATGTGAATGAGGCGCTAGTTGGATTACCTAACATTAGCGCCTTCGGAATATTATCGACCCGCACCCGGTCGTATCAATATTTATCCGAATGCCGTCAGCAGCTTTGCTCGCTAGCCAATCAGATCGAACCTCCAGCCGTCATCGCGAGCTCGTCTGGGAAATCTTCAAGCCTGCACGGCATCGTATCGTCCAGAACAACTCCACTCGCCCACCGAAGACTATCTGACCTTATTTTATATCACATCCAAAAACTTATTCACCGCACAATAGTTCAGCCCCCCAACACCGCCTCCGTTCACAATGGCTATCTCCAACCCTTTCGCCTCGGACTCTTCCCCCCAGTCCACCACCTCCGCCGAGATGAAAGCCGCCATAATTCAACAGCTCCAATCTGAGTCGGCGATAACAAACGCACGCACACTTATGGAGGCAAGCTATCCCCCCTTTTCGGTTTCTTAATTCTGTTCCAAACCATACCATTCCAGCGCGCCTTGATTCTTGCATTGTCCAAAGCCAGCGCAACTGACAAGTCCCCAACAGAAAATTAACTCGAACTGCTTCGAGAAATGTATCTCCTCGCCACCAGGCTCGACATTCTCCTCCAAGGACCAAACCTGCCTCACAGCCTGCATGGAAAAGTACATTTCCCTGTGGAACGCCACCAGCAGAGCATACGTTTCGCGCCTGAGCCGAGAGCAGGAGAAGAGCGGACTTGGCGGCGGGAATATAACGCTTAATGATATCGGTGGGGGAGAGGGTAGTTTTTGAGGGGTTTGAGTGAGAATTATGCAATTGCAACAGCGAGGGTCCTTGCTATGAGGGAATTTATCGGGTTGTGATGGCATAGGAGGACACAATACTATGAGATTGACTGAACCTTATTCGGTCTCCTCGTCCCATACCCTAATGTTCAGGGTAGGTTATTAAAACTCGTCATCTTCATCTCGCGAACAAACGCCGTTTATACTGGAGTTATTTGCGCGGATGAAGATAACAATTTGTATACTAGCATGCTCAGGTACAGAATATATGGTATTTGGGATAGCCATTCGTATAAAATGCTTTGGTAATAACATACATAGGCACACTTCTGATTACCCTGAGCAATTCTTTTCGCATCATTTAGTGAATGCAAGGGCTTCTTTTTTTCACTTTTAACCTCCCTTGTCTTTGTTAGATTCTTCTTGTTAGAGTAAAATACTTAAGACCAGCCAAAACAGGAAGAGAGGCCAATAAAACCCAAACTTATCCTGTAGCATTGGATATATATATCAATATATGATATCCAATAGTGCAAGGAACCGAACAAAGTGTAGAAAGGTAGTGTAAAATACCCAACATTTCCCAATGCAACAGTATCATAAAGGAGATAAAGAGGTTCATCCAGATGAAAAAGGGGTAAAGGTGGAGTTATTCATCCATGAGCGAGAAGGCCATTGAATGTCAGAAACGATGTTAATGCTTGAAACAGCTTTGAAAGATCCACCCAGTACAATAGGAAAAGCATAGTTCTCAGGAAGACTTAAAAGGAGAGCAAGGCTCATAATATACCTCCACTGATGTAGCTGTGGCAGCAATATCTTCTTGCTTTCAAGATGATGAAGGCGCTGAAAACCAAGAGTCCGATGAGGAAAGACCATAAACATAGAGTAAGGTAATAGACGACGTCAGCAGGTAATAGATAGACTTTATGTTTGAGCCCAAGGTAGCCAGACCGACAGTGCGTCAATTATTCGCCTTACGGGCGGATCATTCAAGAAGGATCCAAACACAGGCTCCTAAGTCACAGTCCAGCTGAAACATAACCGAGAGCCAATAACAAACAAACACATAGATTGACCCAATACAATTGGCAAATGCGAAAGAAGCTAATATAGTAGATTTGATGTGATATAGGGCGCGTGACCGGGGTCCATGAAGTCGTTTCGTTTTCGTATATAATGGTTAAAATTCTTGGAAGAAATGGCCAAACCTATAAAACAGTTAGTCAACAAAATGATATCACAAGGGTAGAGGATTATTCATACTCATCATCAGCTGGTAGGCCGTATTGCTCCGTTTCTTCGGGGTAGGTGTCGAACTGGCTAGCGTCTCCTTGCCCAGCTTTAACCGGAGGTATATACGGAGCATCGATATCTTTCCTGGCAAGTCTGTCCCAAGTAACTTCCGAGAACCATGCGTGGTTTTTGACATCTTCCGATCCGCCCCGAAGGTTACCTAGCCGCTTCGTGAGATCGGGGGTGATGAGTTGCGACAAAAGATCCCGAGCATCGGGGACTAAGAATGGAGGGTACTTAACCCGGCCATGGACGATATTCTCATATATTTTCATGGGAGATCCACTATCCCAAAACGGTGTAAAGCCGCAAAGCATTTCGAAGATAAGGATTCCAAGGGACCACCTGTGGTTGATAAGCAAACAATCGTATTGCTCTATTCAGTCGGA